GCTATCACTTAATACTGATTTTAAACTGGTGTAAATCTGTTGGTCCTGATTGTCTTCTAACACTATTGTATTTCAGGAATAACTCCACTGAGTCAGTCGAGTTACACTGGTGTAACTAAATGAATCAGTGCTATTGGCTTACATGAGTCAGAATCAGGCTGAAAACTTTACCAGTTCACATTGTAAGGAAAGTCAGATGTGATCTGTATTTGTTCCTTCTGGATGCAAAATCAGTGTCTGTGTGTGTGTGTTGGTTTTGTTTTTGTTTTTTTATCTCCAACTTTCCAAGCAAATCATTTCAAAATAAACTAATTTATCAGTTTTTTTAAACAAACTGAAAGAAGAAAAAATAATTTCATGTCACAGTTCTAGTAAACAGGCCTAAAAATTTACCTTATAACTGAAAATTGATCCCCAGGCTAATTGTGAAGACCTGAAGTTATTTACTCATTCCAAAGGTTGGTGATTTTATCTCGGGGGGGGGGGGGGGGGGTTAGAGGAGTAAAGTTGCAGCACCTCCTACTCTGCAGTTATCTGAACCTTTTCTGGACTGCTTGTGTTATGTGATATTGCAAGATAAGAAAATTCTCGGTATTGCATTTAAAAAAATAATAGAAAATTTGTTTTAGTTAAATAGATATTTTAAAAAATTAAGTCACTTTCACAGGAGCTTAAATGCAAGAGTTACCATGGAAAGCACATTTCTGCATAACTAAAGATTAGTGCAGTGTATTATTAAAACATGAACAACCCCTGGAGTGAACATGAATGACTGACAGCAATTGCTAGCGTGCAGAAGAGTGCAGACTCATGCCTTAGCATTGTACATTAGCCTGCCCACTCTTCTGGGTAGGCCCCTCTCAAGCACAGTGTGTTAGTTATCCAGGTCTGTTATGACCCAGCACTAGGAGTATTCCTGATATTCAGTTCCTGAATGGCTACTGAGCAGAGTCTGACAACTGAGGCAAACTGTTAAGTGGATAGGTGCCATCTGAAGCAGCGTCATGGTTATGACTGTCAGATCCTGTATACATATTACATCTAAAAATCCTATGTTAAAAGCATGGTAAAACTGAAAGTCAAGCCCTCTCTGCTCCTATCCAACCTCCTAAAGCTCCTGCTTCCCTTCCCTTCTGCTACTGTCTAACAGACCCAAGCCCCAGCTCCTGTTCCCTCTTCTGCTGTCATCCAACACCACCCCTCCAGTGCCCCACCTCCTGCCCCCTTCACTTCTATGCCTGTTCAACTCCCCTGCACTCTGGCTTTTGTTGCCCTCCCCCACCACATCCCAGCCTCTGCCCCCTCTTCTTCTAGCCCATCCCCACTTAAATCCTGTCCCTCTCTCCCAAGACAGCTCCCTGTGCCCAACACCCCAGCAGCTCTCAGCAGCTGGGAGGAGCAATTGGAAGGAAATGCTTGCTCAGCACTTGAGGCTTCAGGATGCTCAGTCACTCTGTGGGGATAGACATATGCAGTCCAGTTGCTCATAGGAGCTGTGAGGGGATTGAGCATGCTCAGTGGAGATGGAGTCTTTGGAGAACTTGCTACCAAATTCTAACAAATGTCTACTGAGCATGTGCAAACGGAGATTTTCCAGAGGCTATAACTTGATCAAATTTAGGCGAATTTTCATTGTGATGGCAAATGGCACAGCATGGAGGTGCCAGAGCTTGTTGACAGAATGGTTGAAAGAATTTCTCTTAACATGGACAAAACAACAGATTTTCCCCTAATCTTAATTATCTGAAATGACTGAAGCATTTTTGTTGAAACTTAAAAAAAAAAAAAAAAAACAGTTCTTTCTGAGGTAGACATCCAGCCTGGGAAATTTTAGCCTGAACTGTTTATAAACTTATAAGTCATTGAAAACGGGGTCGTATAATGGAAAGTGTTGGGCAACCTTAACTATAGGTGGCAGTACGAGCTCCACCTTTAACTGAAGCTGTATTTAAAGAAACATTTTCAACTTCTAAATCATATATTATTTTTTTTAAATTCATTTTTTTGCACAACTTAAAATTTGGGTAAAATTTAACTTGATATGAGATGATCTTATAATTAAGGCAAGTATCTGGGAAACAGGAGAACTCTGTTCTGTTCTTGGTTGTGTCACAGTTCCTACATTGCCTTGGACACCTTAGTGCCAAAGAGATGATGCACAGCTAAAGGACACTGACTCCATTATGTATTCTTCGATTATTTGGTTTAACTTTATGTAGTGGGCAGGCCCATCAGCCCATTTGCTTACCTGTGACCCCATCAGCTTCAGCATACCAAAGCTCTCACCTTCCCAAGGTATTAACTGTAATGTAGATTTATCTATTTCACTTTTACACTCATCTTTGCTCTGGGCTGCCTCTTGTCCTCTATATAAACCCAAGGTATGCCTTCATCTTATCAGCTGTGATCACTGCTCTTACCCTGCACTGGGAAAACAGGCAATATATAACAAAAGGCTAGAAAGCACAAAGAACATTACTTTACTTCAGTCCCTTGAGAGTGTTTTTGTATGCATGTATTTTGAATCCAGGGAAAAAAGACTTTTATTTGGGATGATAAGAGCATCTTCACTGGTGCATGTAGACGGAAGCTGGTAAATGCAAGCATTGCAATGCTTCTCTGTGAGAGCTCAATCTTGCAAGGTACTGAGCATATCTTGAGAAGTGCCAGGTGTTCTCAGTTGTCACCCAGGCACTCTGGTCCAGATCCTAAAAGGTACGTAGGTACCTGACTGCCATTGATTTTAATAGGTGTTAGGTGCCTTGGATGATCTGACCCTCAGTAATACTTAAACACAGTTTGTTGCTCACTAAGGAGCTGATTCTCCAAGCTGCAGAGCCCCTGAATTCCAACTGACTTCAACAGGATTTCAGGGTGATCCTCACCTTGCAGGAGATGTTCATGACCTAAGAAGTATTTATGAAAGAGAGGAAGGGTAGGTCTCATATGACACACAAATGCACATATCTCACTGGTTATGACCTAGAATATTTTCAAAAAAACGACGTAAAATATTGTTCCTTATCAAACTTTTTCAGCCCAAAGTAAGTCTGTGAATCACAATGAAACCCCTATTAAAGAGAGCCAGTGGGTGCATTATATTGGGGTGTCTTCTAGAAACATGGAATTGTAAATGGGTTTCAGCTGATATGTATAAAGGGTGAACTTCATCCCTGTGCAGAGGGGCAGCACGGGCTCTGTGCAACAGATAAGGTTTATGTGAGGCTAAAGTGGTACATGCATAGGCCTTGTTCTGTTGCTTTACTGGGAATGGATTTTACTCTAGAGGCCCAATCCTGTGAGGTGCTGAGGTATTAAATGGCACCTAACTCCCATTGATTTCAATAAGATTTAGGTGCCTAAATATCTTTGAGGATCTGGGCCTGAGTGCTTTCAAGTCCAGTCACCTTCAGTGGGAGTAGAGAGCGCTCAACATCTGATAAAATTAGGCTCTGACCTCTTAGTAGAATATATATTAAAAGTCTTGCATTTGTAGTGACTGTAGATTTAAGCAAAGGCAGTCTGTTAGATCATCGTCAGAGATCTGAAATGCTCAAGTCTGTTTGTCATGGGTATCACCACTCAAGTTCAGAGCTGGCCAAACTTATGACAAACATCTGGTATTTTTATTGCCCGTGTTAACTAATAACACATTCGTTCAATAATCCTTCTCTTTGTAGTTGATGAATACCTAAAAAGGGAAAAGTTTGAGAGACTCTCTTCCAGTTAAAGATAACAGCTGCACAAGAACATCCACTTTAATTTAATTACACATTTTTTTTCCCCCATGAAAGCAGGCAGGATGTTCATCACTACCTACCAAGCAGGACATAAAAATGAGAAAAAACGTTTCCTATGTTTATATTATTTTGCTATCATCTTACAGAAATAGGAAATCAGAGCCCAGTGGCTTTCTGTTCCCTTTGTAGTTGAAGACAATTATGATTTTTTAAATCACTCACACAATGGTTTACATTTTCAGAGCATTTAAAAAACATTAGCTAGTTCAGCATTTCCAAAAGGGTGGGGTACAGCTTCCTGTGGGGGTGGGAGAAGGGTGCAAAGGACTGGCCAGGGGGAAGGGAAGGCGTAGAAGATGTATAAATTGAGATGTGAAGGAGTTTAACACCCTCGCCCCTAGTGGGAATAGTGGAGGATGTCATTGACTTCATTACAGTTTGGGAAACATAGAGCTAGTTAACCCTCATAAGTTCCCTGTATGGTAGGGAAGTGCATTAATCACCATTTTATAGGTGCAGAAACTGAGGTATGGAGATGCTAAGTGACTTGCCCAAGAGTACACAGCTAGCTGGTGGCAGAGCCAGGATTAGAAGACAGGCATTCCTGTTCAGTCCTCTGTCTAGATTATGGACTATGGGAAGGATGACTCGCATTTGCAGTGATCTCAATCATGAGGAAGGAAAGCATGTACATGAAGTTAGTGGAAGAGAATCTTTAAACCCATATACATTGATGTTAAGGGGCATGAAAGGTCAGCTTTAGGGACAAAACGTGAATGGCGAATTCCTGCAATTGGTGTGAATTTAATACTTTTTTTTTTTAGCTAGCAGTGCTATAAACTAGGGATGGTCCTGAGCTATTGATTTTTAGACTTGGATCCATATTGAAATGCTCAGAGTCTGGAGGTCTCTTTAGTTCACCCATGATATTTGGATCCATATCTAGGTATGACTAGATGACCTCTCTTCCAACCCTAATCTTCTATGACTCTATGATATGGATCAAAACTTTAAAAGTTTCAGAGATGTTTGAGATCTGAGGAGCTGTATAAGAGCTTACAGCACTAGTGTGTATATATTTACACTTTGATCTAGGATAGGAATTTGGTATATTTCTTCCATTTTTTTTGTCTTTGCCATGACTTTCTTTACTTACTGATTGCATCCATATTTCCAGAATGTGATCACAACTACTCTATGAAGTATGAATTATAAATAGAATTTGTCCAAACCCAAACATGCTTTTCTCTCTCTTTCTAGGGACAAGATATTGCTACACTCAACACATATTGGAAGCTGGTGGAGAAAGTATATCTGTCACTAAGCGCTGTGTGCCACTGGAGGACTGTTTGTCTACTGGATGCATAGATTCAAAACATGAAGGCCACAAGGTTAGGAGCAAAAGCTATCTGCTTTGGTAAAAACTGTGCAGAAATCTTCTGCTCTTAGCCAGAAGTCTGACACATACAACAGGTGGAACAACATCACCAAAATTGTAATGTCTCTATTTTTGACCAGTCCTTTGCTATATTCATGTTGCTTTGTTTCATAGAAAAAAGGGAAGTGATCCTTTTAAGCATTAGGTAAAGAGGATTATGGGCTAACTCCTGCTCCCACTGATGTTAGTGATTTAAGTGAATTTGGTCTGTGTTAAATAATGAGAGCATATAATTTGCATGAACTCTGCAGAGCTAGGCAAAATCTATAAACATTCCCCTTACAAATACAGGAGCGAATGCTGAAATCCTTAGTCAGGTTTTACGCAGTGACAAAATTCCCTTTTCTCAGGCAAAGGAAACTTTGTCTGAGTAAAAATTGGTAATAACTGAGGAAGGATTTGGGCCAGTATGTATATATACAGATTGAAAAGTGTGAAAACATAAACACAGGAAAGAGTAACATCATCCCACTCTCCTTGAGGAATTAAAATGTTGGGTCCACAAGACGAAAGACAGGGACATGGCTAGACGTTTTTGATGGTATGTTAAAGACCCACTGGTACTGCAGGAAAGAGAACCATTCTAATGAATTTTAAAAAAAAACAACATTTTGCTTATACTATTATACTTCCTGATTTTCTCAGACCAGTTAGTTTTAATGAGTGGGGACATTGTCCTGTGAAGTGTTTTTGTACCCTCACCAATGTAGGGCATTGGTGATAGGTGAAAGGGCACTGGCCAATCAGTAATCATGCAGTGACTTATTTATTCCATACATGAGCTGGATCTTCTAATTTTATCAGGAATGGCTTATTTTAAAAGGCTGTTTTATTGAAAAATAAGTCAAGATTTCAAACTCCTGACACATTTCAAAAATAGGTTCCAGTCAGATATTCCTATGAGTAACCAACCAAGCTCTGTTCCCTGGGGTATTCTAGCAATTTAGGGCCATAGCATTCCCTCCTGCCTGGGCCACATGAAGATCTGTGAAGTTCTCCTACACATTTGAGTCAACAGTGTGCCCTTGTTGCCAAGAAGGCTAATGGCATTTTGGGATGTATAAGTAGGGGCATTGCCAGCAGATCGAGGGACATGATCGTTCCCCTCTATTCGACATTGGTAAGGCCTCATCTGGAGTACTGTGTCCAGTTTTGGTCCCCACACTACAAGAAGGATGTGGAAAAATTGGAAAGAGTCCAGCAGAGGGCAACAAAAATGATTAGGGGACTGGAACACATGACTTATGAGGAGAGGCTGAGGGAACTGGGGATGTTTAGTCTGCAGAAGAGAAGAATGAGGGGGGATTTGATAGCTGCTTTCAACTACCTGAAAGGGGGTTCCAGAGAAGATGGCTCTAGACTGTTCTCAGTGGTAGCAGATGACAGAACAAGGAGTAATGGTCTCAAGTTGCAGTAGGGGAAATTTAGGTTGGATATTAGGAAAAACTTTTTCACTATGAGGGTGGTGAAACACTGGAATGTGTTACCTAGGGAGGTGGTGGAATCTCCTTCCCTAGAAGTTTTTAAGGTCAGGCTTGACAAAGCCCTGGCTGGGATGATTTAGTCGGGGATCGGTCCTACTTTGAACAGGGGGTTGGACTAGATGACCTCCTGAGGTCCGTTCCAACCCTGATATTCTATGATTATCACTTGATGGTGAGGGACAAAAGAAGCAGGGGTAAACCAGTGACTCCCCCACTATTCGCAGGGGCCTGTGCCATCTGTGTGAAGGCCATGTTCCTCTTCACCTGTTCCTTCCCCTGCCTCTCTTTTGGCCCATGTCACTACTGTTTCTGCAGGAACTATGCTGACATGGGCTGGTGACCAAAAAACCACTCCTCTAGCCCCCAAAGAGAGGAGGAAATGAGAATGTTAATGTTGACTGGATAAGTTTTCCCAAATGACATTAAATATTGATACATCATGCAGTAGACCCAGGAAGGAATTATTCGCTCCCTCTGCAAGGAGAAGTAACTTACTGTAGCCTTGAAAAGGGTGCAACTTACTTTTACCTGGTGCCTGGCCAGATCAGTGGATGATGCCTGAAAGTGGGGGGAAGCCACTCCCTCACGTCCCCCACACCTGACTCACTTGTTCTTGGTGGCATGCAACTCCTCTGTCCCCTGAGCCAAGTTCCTGACTGGTCCTACATGTCCATGCATAGTCATATGGAACCAAAGCACAATCTTCCCTGAAATGTTCACTTGCAGTAACGCCTGGTGTATCTGGGTATGTGTCAGTCACTGGCACCAACTTTATGCTCCTTTTTTTTAACAGGGGATACTGGACAGGAATCAACACCCCCTGAAATGTTGTGGTGTTTCCACTAGGCGACACTTGTCATGCGGGCCTTGCAGGGTAGTTAAAAATCCCATATGCTCATTTCTATCTATTATCCTATGCTAGCATTCAGTAATTCTAGGACACAACTGAGTGATATACCTTAAAATGCGCCCCTTCCCATCTACACTTCCAGCATTCAGGTCAGTTAAGATGCGTGATGTCCAATGTACTTAGTTAATATTTCTGAATGTTGCTCTCAAATGTGACCGGTTGGTAACATTTAAAATCTTTTATCACTAACTGTTGTGGAACCAAACTTCTAATTCTCTCTGCCCTTGAACTCTTAATAACTAAAGAGAGTTGCTCGGGTAATTAAACTCCAAGACAGATTATGGTGGTGATCCTCCAAGACAAAAACACAAGATAAACTTTGTACATGGGATTGGGAGCAGTCCCATTGAAGCTGAATTTACTTTACACACCTTATAAGTCTTCTTTATGCTGCCAGAATGGTGTAAAGGGGCCTTAATGAAACTGAGAATTCAGGCCTTTGAATAGTATTTATTCCCAATAGGCTGTATACGTAGAACATGTATCTTTGTGTATTTAATTCTCCAGTATTATATTAGCCTAGATATCAGGTGATGGGTACCTAGAAAGGCCTAGATAAATTCATGATTAATTTCTGAAAGTTATGCTACATATCGCATCGACTCTGCTGTAAGCATACAGCCAAAATGGGTATTATTTTTTAAATGGCTTACTCTGAAAAAAAGTATATTTGTTTTAAACTGAATGCTACAGCCCTCCCTATAGCAGACATCGCTTGTCCAGGCCACGCATCTGTCCTAGACAACTCTCTTGACCACCTGACCGCGTGCCAGACCCCAAATTGCTATTCTTAACACCTTAATACTATCCTAGACAAATTCAGTGTCTCCAGGCCTCTCCAGAATAAGGAGGGGTGAGTGTTGTTGTTTGTATTGCAGTAGTCCCTAGGAACCCCCGAAGAGATTGGGACACCATTGTGCCAGTCACTGTACAATCATGGAATAAGAGACCATCTCCACACCTAGAGCTTACAATGTAAATGGAAAGACAGACAAAGAGTTGGGGGCAGGGATATAACATACAAGCAGAATGACCGATGTGATGGTTTGCAAACATCATGATAAATCCACTCGTTAGTCTGAGGTACTGAGGTATCTTCAAAAGTGGAATAACTCTGGTTACTGAACAGTTTTATTTCTTTCAGATCTGCACTTCCTGCTGTGAAGGAAATATCTGTAACTTGCCATTACCCAGAAATGCAACTGATGCAATATTTGCAACGACATCCCCTATAAATCAGACAAAAAGACTTTCCCAACATATATCAATAATAACGTCATGTCTCCTGTTGGTATTTACTTCATAGCGATGTCATATGGTGCCATTTGTATAGTTGGAAAAGCTCAACTGGATGAAAACCTTAGTATCGATATATGACCTTATCTTAATATATGTTCAAAATCTTAGTATTTCAACAACATTCCCAAAATTTTAATTTCTTCTTGATTTTTTTTTGTTAATTTTGGTTAGTACTGCACCTAAATGTTCCTGAAGTGTATTCTCCTGAAGGGGAGAATAATCCAATTGTTTTCACTTAATATTTTGAGTAGAAACACATTTGAAATATTTTCAAAGCTAGTGGGTCGCCCATATACACTGGTACATAGAATATTCTAGAAATTTGTCTTCTCTCTGTGAAGTGGTAATATTTGTTAAAGATATATTATGCAGCTTATTTGAAGCTCTCTCATGAAGAGGTATTTATTTACTGATTCCAACAGAATAATTTGATTCTCATATCAATCTTTGGCACCTTCCTGATTTGTTTGGAAACCTCACAGTAGCTAATCTAACCTTTCAGCTCTCGACGCCTGCCCTGTCATTTTGTTGCACACCACAAACTTCCATTGGATCTGCTGCTTCTTTCACTTACAGTGATGTAAATCAGGAGTAACTCCATTGAGGTCAATGGAGTTACACCAGTATAAAAGTAGTTAGAGGAGAACTGGGTCCAATGGGAGATTGTGAACAGGCTTCAGCTGTTCACAAATGCCTTCTCTAAAGCAGTCCATCAACAGTGAAAATGTGTATTTTCTTCATGAGAACCCAGAGGGGAAAAAGAAACCTTCACGTCCGACTTTTAAAATGTTTGGATGTGGTGCTGAGCATGGTGGTGTTACCTGTTGTAAAAACTCATCTATTCTATAAAGAATGACATCACACAACCTTTTGTAAGTCAAGCCTGAGACCTTAGTTTTTTAAGCTTTATTGATTGAAACATGGGCTCAAATACAACCAGCCAGCTTTAGTCTAAGAGGGGAAAATGTATATTAAAAGCTATTTGAAAGCCTCCTGTGGAATATGATGGTGCATGGCAAGGCAGCACAGCTCATAGTGCTTCACAATTTTATTTCTTTTTACAGGTAGGTGCCCAGTCCTTCAAGGTGCTTAACACTGACTCTAATTTAGCAAAGCGCTTAAGCACATGCTTACCTTTAAGCACGTAAGAAGTCCCATTGAACTCACTGTGTTTTGGAACAACCACATAGACATATTCTGGCCTGAGTCCATGCATGCCAGTCCCAGTGATGTCATTGGGGTATGGACACTAAGAGTGAGAATAAGATAAAGCTTGCCTAAATTCAACTTTTATGACAATATTTTTAAATACTGTTGGAGACAGAATTTAGAATTAAATTACTACTAAATTAAGGACTGATCCAGCAATGTTCCCACTCTCCAAATTCCTGTTGACTTCAGTGAGAATTATACATCCCAAACAACTGCAGGACTATGCCTGAGGTTTTACATTTAAAAGTATATATCAAAATGTATAAAACTGTTTAGCCACATGGCAAGAAACACATTGTAGTGCATGATTGTACTCTGACAAAGAAAGGCTAGTAAAACGTCATTTATTTCTAATGTTTACTCCTGGTATATAGGGTGAAACTTTTAATAGTCTTGGCTATAATTTTGGCACCAACTGTTGTGTATGTCACTTGTAAATCATTTATACAATATTTATTTTTGTATGGTATGATTAGAATCTAATGTATTGTTTTAAAAAAAAAACATTCTTAAGAACAATTTACCCTAATAGGATAGTTGTTTTAAGATTGGGTAAAACTGTAATATATACTATGATAATTTATAATATTTTGCACCAATGTTGAAAAAAGATTAACTTGCTTTACAAGGTCAGTAGTAAATTAAAGTTTCCCTCACTGGTTTAACTTAAAACTAAAGAAAAAACTGGGTGGAATTTTGATAGATTGTACAACCGTGTAATTTTCCATGTAAGTGTTTTTGAGCTATTTTTGGTTAGCAAGAATCAACTGATAACTTGCACTTAATCAAATTACAATACAGGTTTATGCTCCGAGGCTTATGTAGTGAAATGTATTATAAAGAGGGAGGAAATATTGCTGGAATCCAAGTGCTCTGTAAAAAATCTTTGATAAGAAGGTACCTTCTAAAGGGCATAAAAATTGTCCACAAGCACTAATCCGGTAGAGTTTCTTCAAAATATCAATAATCTGTAGACACTACTGAGCCCAGTAAGCAATGCTCTTGTCTTAAGGCTTGTCTACGCTACCGTTCAGATCGACGGGCAGCAGTTGATCCAGCGGGGGTCAATTTATTGCGTCTAGTATAGACGTGATAAATCAACCGCCGATCGCTCTAGCGTGTACTCCACCTCAACAAAAAATGCACAGTGATGACACCGTGGTAAGTAGATCTAAGTACGTCGACTTCAGCTACGTTATTCATATAGCTGAAGTTACATAACTTAGATCGATTCTCCCCCTTGCCCCCATAGTGTAGACCAGCCCTTAGTTGTAATGATCAATGGCTTCTTTTGGGCTACACATCTGTACTATTTAGGATTGTGTGAAAGATTTTTTTTATGGGAAAATTGCAAAACCTCACAATTCATCTGAACCCTTCCTCCCCATGCCCCACATATTTTTGAGGGGTTGGAGAACTTTTACTTGTGTGAAAATTCAGTTATTTTTACACATTTCAGTGTGAAAATTGAGCTTTACCCCTTTTTTAAAAAAAAAATAATTAATTTTACTTACAAATAAAACTGCATGAAAGTTGGCCCATTTTCATTCACAAATGGTCATGTTCTTGGTCAAAAACCATGGAATTTCAGTGTTTTCATCGAGTTGCATCATTTTTATGGTATTGCAGTAAAATATGTGGATCTCTAATTTGAGTGACCATCTCAACAATCCCTGGTATTAATTACAAGGGTGGTTGCAATCTACTATTTTTATGCAAGGGAGGCATGTCATTTGGGCTCCTGGTGAGTTAATGGTGTGGCCTGCAGTTGCACAAAGTTTGGCCCCCTCTTGAGTAGACTTTCTTAGGTTATTAAAGCCCAATCCTGTGAGCTGCTCTGCACCCTCAACTCCCATTGGCATTAGGGCTGCATAGGTCAGCCACTGAGATTGCAAGAGTAGTCTCCCTACATGTAAGTTGTATCTCTATATTTAATACTTTTCCTATAGACATTACGTTTTTGATGCTTGATTAACGGGGTGATATTTTTAGGTTACTGCTGAAGCTTCACCAAATGTAACCAACATTTTGATGAGCTAGATGAGTAGAACCATCTTGACTATACTGCGATAGTGTCTATCTTTTTTTACTAGGGAGGGATTATGTTTTATTAGTAGTAAAGCATTTAAAAATGGTTTTGTACCTACCATTTGTACAGTTAAATGACATATGGCCAGATTCTGGGTGTGTCTGTGCAGATGCACTCATAGGCAAGCAGGCCCTGGGAGCCTCTCCCCAGTGGCATATATAGCTCAGTCCCTATGCAGACCTCATATCAAGGGAGTGCTAGACTGAGACATGGCTTGTGAACCCAGTAGTGCTCTCCAGCCATTGAAGGTACAAGGCTGTGTCAAGGCACATACTCACCTTTCCAAAGCAACAGGTACAGCCACTGTAATCATGTTCTCCAGCACCAACCCAAGCTATTCTGATGGTTTCATCATTGCATAGATAGAATGATTCAGGCTACTTCTACTTTGCAGCTCCATCTCCTCTAACCTCATCCCCATCAGTGCATTGCAGGTGTGCAAGGACCTGTCTTGCCCTTAAAAGGGGAAGTTGGAACTGTCAAATGAAGTTGCTACCAGTTCTGTTATATACAGTTACAGGGGGGTTGGTCAACAAATAAGTCAATGTTACTGGGACTGTACAGTGTGGGAGATAATAGTTATAATAGTTTTAAAAAAATTAAATTCTCTGAAAACAATGTTTACGGAGACTCTGTGCATAATTCTCCTCTTTGCCCCAAACTCTTAGTGCACCAGCCAATCTGTGGATGTAGTATGATATTTTAATAGCACACAAATGTTAGATTCTACATATTTATTTTTAGGCTCTGAACAACATATCTTCTTTTTAAATATCTGATTTTTAAATGTTGTAAATTTTGTACATAGTGCAAATAAATGAGGTTTTAAATATAAAGGTTGACCTATTTGTCTGATAATCTGTATGTATTTTAAATTGTTTTGATAATTCCAGCTCTTCCACTAGGTTTTCTACCTCTCTTCCTCCTCCTCTTAGAAAATAATTGCAAACTTTCTTTTGTCCTTCGTTAGCTTCTTTTAGGTCCCATTAGCAAAGGAAGAACCTTTGAAGTCAAGAACTACATTCATTGCTCCCACAGAAAGAAGTGCCCATGAGTCTGATCCATTTCCCACTAAACCTCATGTGAAACTTTTCCTTGATTTCAGTGGGTGCTGGGTTGGATCCTATATATTTATCCTCTGGCACTCGCTAAGAGAAGTCCATGGTAGTTCCATGCACAGAATACCAGCAGGATTGGGACGTAAGTGTTCCAGTGTATGAGTATATTCCGTTGAGGTCAGTAATCTTCCTTCTCATGAAAATAGTTGAAGGATGTAGCCTGTCAGTTATTCCTCCCAGGTAATTTTTGTTACTTGTAGGTTTAGGAGGAACTGCAACCATGCCAGGTTTCCAACAAGAAATCCCATATTAAGCAGTGAGTAGCTTGTGTTCTTACTGCTGTTGACATTAATTAAAATTCAGCATATAATAAAAAAGTGAATATGAGGTAGTATAAAATAGGCTTGGAAGGATTAGATTTTTAATAGTAAATGTCAGTAAACATCAATTTCTCTGCACACACACAAACCAATGAAAAAATATTTCCATCGATGATAACAGAAATTTAGAGATGCCACAGTAAGAAAAATGCTGCTTGAGAACTTATTAGTTTGTTTTAAGGATATTTACTTGGTATATTTTGACATGCAATGGTGACAAGTTGTGTTTTAGTGTTTATAAAGTTTTAACTTTTTGAATCTCAACATCTACTGTCTTCAAGTAATTGTTGTCAGATCCTTCAATACCTGAACCCCCTTCAATTTCCCACAGCTGTGAAAATTTAAATTGGTAAAAATGGAAAAAAATGCTTAAAAATAAACATTGATCTTATCAATGGAAATTACAAAGAAAATTGAATTCTGCCAAGCCTAAAATGAGTCTAATTTGTAATTGTTGTGTAGCTATTTCCTGCTTTCTTGATAAATTGTAATTTTCTAAACAGAGGGCCTAATTCTTCTCTCTCACCAGTTTAACACCAGTATACCTTTCTGTTGCTTTCATGTAGTTACTTCCGATTTATATCCTTATGAGCTCTGATTCAATTGAAAAAACGTCAGACACCTAAAGAACTAATTCAGACTTAAACTTCCTGTGAAGCTGATGCACACAGTTTACATCTGTTTGCTCAGAAGATACTGTATATTCTGTGCTTTCTCATTAAAGTTTCAATTTACAGAAGTAATTTTAGCTGATTTTCCTAGATTCATTTTTGTACCATAAAAGAAACATTTTGTTGTAAACTGGAAATACAAGATTTTTCAATAGATTTTTGTTAAGGCTGTGGTGTGACCAGGCAGCCAGTAACTCTGTAGACTATCTTGATAGCGTCCTGAAATTGCTTTGAGAAAGCACTACTCTCATATGGACATGAAATATAAACAAAATTCCCCAGACATTTATGAGGGTTCTTATCAGCAATGGTATTCCTTAGATGTCCCATAGAAATGTATAGGCCTCTTAAAAAAATTAACTACCTAGTCTATGTAGCTGAAAGTAATCTGAGATAGAAAAAAAAAATAAAGACGGTTAATGAAGCAGTTTATCGGTCTCTCTTACCCATTTAAACATGTTGTCTCCGGTCTGTAATAACTATTTAGGGTCTGGAGAGAGAAATGCTAAGACTACCCAAAGCTCACTATCAAACCCAAATAAATAAATGTCCTGTTTGCAATACAGTGAGTCTGCTTAAACGTGAAATCCCTGAAGAAAGAGAGTGGTGAGAGTCAACAGGGAATCACTTTTATATAATGCAGAGTTTCCAGACATCCCCTCCAGAGAGTGATCTTATGAAAAATACCAAGCGTTTTATATATGTTTCCTATAAATGGGTTTTAATACAGGGTAGGGGGAGGTTCCCCTTCTTTTCTGGTATAGTTTCCAACAATAATAGGACTCTAGCAGTTCAAGGTTGCTGTTGGCATGGTTTCCAAATGCTATGTGTGTCTCTGTGCTTCTCTCTGCATTCATTATCCCTACTGGACTGAAGGGCAGTTAGTGAACTTGTCAGAAATGGAAAAGAAGCTTGCATAAGTCTGTTGTAGAAAGTTATAATAAAGGTCATTACAGATCACTGACCACTTTAGCAGTGGGAAAGGCTGATCTGAGGGTCTTCTGGCAGCAGAAGGTGATGCTGTGGCAAACGAAAAAAAGACTAAACAAACTTTACCGAGGAAGGATATAACAAATGCTCAGAGAGCAAAAATGAAAATAGATCCCATTGGAGAGTGTAATTTATGCTAAACGCTTAAAGCATCAGGAAGAGCGTTTGCATTGACAGTATTCTCTCTGTGGAGTAGAAATGTGATAATAGCTTGACTTTGGAGTTCATTAACAATTTATAAACCAATTTTACAGGACCGTTCAGTAGGTTGCTGCTTGCTTGGGAGAAAGAATAATGGCACTGGTCAAGGATTTAGCAGCAATTTCCAATGAAAACACAAAACAGTTCTTTGGACGTTTGTAATGTCAGAGGGCATATCAAGAAAGAATAGGATTCACTATCAACAGTGAAATATTTACCTACAAGGAATATGGTGCTCAGCAGTCACACATAGACTTATCCCCTGCAGAGTTTCAAAATGTACTAGTTAGATCAGCAGAGATTATGCAATTTATACCAATGCTCACCTCCTTTCATTATTATATATTTGTATGCTAGTAGCGTCTACAATGTCCTGTTGGTATCCAGGAGGTGAGCAGGCTTCTGCCCGCCCACTACTAAAGGACCTCCCTTTAGCCTAAGGGGAGGATTCACAAATCCGGGATTCCAAATAGGTGCAGGGGACAACTAATGAGATAATAGGAACGGGAGTGAGATCACCGGGCTAAACAAAGGGAACCTGATGGGGACACTGAGCAGAGAACCCCAGACAGCACCCACTGCTCCTCGAAGGGGTAGTGTCTACAATGTGCTAGGCACTGCCCAACACAAGTGAAAACACGTTCCCTGCCCCTGAAGCTAACCCCCACCAGTCTCTCTCCAATTATTGCCCGAAGCATCCCACACATTCCTACTCTGTATATCAGTCCCTGCCTTCTAGCACGTTGACCTGCATTTCCTCACTCCCACCTCGGTCATAAAATATGCGTTGCTCTGAGCCCTCAGAGCTCCTGTACACATGCCTGTTTATAATCATGCCTCATGGTCAAAGACTCATTCATATTTCAACAGGTGCATCCAGCAACACTCAAGGGCAGATTAATTACACTAAACTACAGCCCATCCCAGGGTTACAGAATTTATTTTAGCCCACCTCCTAAAGCAGAGATACTCAAGTGTCTGTGAGCAGATGTTAACATTCACAAATGTTTTACTTCTGGATCTGCAAGGTGTTTAAATTCACTGACAGCCAGACCAATCAAGCTATATCATTTATGATCTAGCTCATCTAGCTGTTTTTTATTTTTAAAATCACCACCACCACCTTTGGTCTTAATCTAAAGGCCATGAGTTTCTTTCTTAAGGATATCAAGTGGCCCATGACACCTTTTTTAAATGAGGGCTTGCCTAACACCATCCACCCTATTAATTACAGTACCAGGACTACCAAATCCTCGATGGATTGTCTCAGTAGCTCCCCGCCTAGCACAGTAGGATGTCGATCACATGCTTAGGCACCTTTCTCTCCCCATTCATTGTATAGGGAGCCTAACTAAGGTTTTGTAGATTGCAATGCGGTTCCTATGATTTTCTAAGTGCCTAAGTCCCTTTGGTGCTGGGTCTGAGTCCTTTTGCAACCTTTCTCAGGTTTTTCTGGGCCTCAGTTTTATCTTCTAACCTTAGGAAACTCCTTGTCCCAAATAAGAAAATTCACAGAACTCTAATCAGCTGTCTGCAAAGTCTCTGCTCCAGGGAGAGAGGGGGGAAAAGAGTGAAAGCTCCTAGCAGTGTCGTGAATCCCACCTACCGGACAACAATGCATTGCCTACAAACCTCTCACGTGGACGTAGACCTGGGAATCATGTTATACTCATCTGAAACATTGGTAGGGGTGTAGCCTGCGGGTGCCAGAAATTCAGGTGCAGCAATAGAAGAGACCAAGCAGCCTGCAAACTTTTGCCTCAGCATGTTTTTCTTATTGCCCTACACGCTTCCCTGCATACTTGATGTTGGAGGGCCGGGGGAGAGGAATCTGATCAGTAAATGGAGTCCGTGGTAATTTTCATTGGAAATTTCTTGGGATGAGGAGGGCTTGGTTTGATTCAGGCTATTTGGCCTTGACCAGTGAGATCACCAGCAGAGCAAGTTGAAGAACTTCTATTTTGTGCAAGCGGACGACAAGATCTGTTGCATTTAAACATATGACACATTGGATTGCTTTCCTGTCACGTGTTCTAATGGTGTAATGCTGGGCAAAGACTTCATAAGCTATAGCTAACTTTGGGGCCAGATGCTCCATTAATCCCTCCCTGTGTAAAGGCTCACTAGAGATATGTCTGTGCAGCTGCGAGGTCCCATTGTGTGTAGACAGACTCGTGCTAGTTCTTCTCAAGGTAGTGTGCTAAAAGTAGCAGTGTAGATGGGGTGGCTCAGGCTAGTTGCCTGAGTTTTCCCCCTAAAAGGTGAGCCGGGGGGTGAGAGGGGGTGTTGGGCAGGCTTGAACTTGGGGAGTTGCAGCTGCTGCCCATGCAGCAGTGTTAGGCTGGCCACTCATCCAGTATTAAACTGGCCAGTCTTGCTTTTCTAGGGTTTCTCCCCTGTCTAGTAGTCAGACAAAACCAGACATGGTACTGGATGGAAGAGCCCTTTTGAAGAGTGCACCGTGCTGCCCCCATCCCCCACCAGCGTGACCGCACACACAAAAATCATGCCAGGGGGAAGTAAGGGGGAGGCTGAGTGCTGTCTGAAAAATGGCACCCACTGTCATAGGTGCTGAAACTAGGAGTGCTGGGGGTGCTGCCACACACCCCCGGCTTGAAGTGCTTTCCATCATATACATGGTTTACAGTTTGGTTCAATGACTCTCAGCATCCTAACTATACAAATTGTTCCAGCATCCCTATCCACAGCATGTATCTGCGGGCATACCAGCAGGGGTGAGGATCGCACAAGCAGGGACAGGTCCATGGCATTCCTGCCTGTACTGGAATGTCTGGTATTCCAGGAAGGCATGAGTGGCCACCCTATGTTATGTCCACACTGTTATTTTTAGTGTGCCAGCTCTTTAAACCACTTTTGACCCTCCCCATGCTCAAGCTTTGTGCCAAGCCCAAGTTGGCTGGAAATGAGGCTCTGGGTCAATATGAGCTTGGTTAGCAACTACAGGAAGAAACAAACCAACCTTAAACTAAAGCTCAGAATCAGTGAACCTAAATACATAAGGCCTGCTTTTGATCTTACTCTGTAGTGTGATGGAGCTGCAAAACAGGGACTGCAATGCCCATCAGCCCCCTCCTGACTACCTTCCCTTCCTGCTGGCTAAGTAATGACTGTGTTTGCCATCAGTCCCCTCCCCATTGCACTCGCCTTCCTCTGGCCAGATAAGAGGAGAGACTAGGTAGAGGTCCTGAACCAGCAAGTGGCTGGCTGTGTTTGGGAGGGAGTGGGAGCCTTATGGCAGCAGGGAGCTGGAGAGAAGAAGCGCCAGGAACTGAGGGTCTAGCTATACTTAAAATGCTACAGTGGCACAGTTGCAGCAGTGTATGTGTGTTAGACACTTACTACAGTAACGGGATGTGTGTGTAGGTGTGTCTTGTTGCTGTAGTTAGTTGAGATGCGGTAGCTAGGTGGATGGAAGAATTTGTCCATCACACTAGCTATACCAGGCGTTAGGTTGGCATAGCCACATCTCTTTTCACACTGCTGAGAAATGTAGCTATGTCGATGTAAAATTTCAGTGTAGCCCAGCCCTTAGTCTGTGGACAAAGCTGCAGATGGAACAGTCTCTGACTGATGGATATCACAGCTGGATGTAGGTCTGTGTGGGACTTATGGGGGTGCAGTGACTGGGCAGGAAACTAGTGCAAAGGGGCCTCAATGAATGACACTAAGTGAGCCTGACCTGGAAACTCAGAAATGCTTATTTGCTTGAATAGAGACTAGACTGGAGAGGGCACCAAAGGCCACTAGCCTGATGAGCCCTGGCTCTTGATTGTGCTGTACCAGGGCCCCACAAGAACTGCTATTGTGCACTTTGAACCG